CTCCCTCCCCGGGTCCCCCTCCTCCTTGGCCGTTCACACCCCCCCCCCCCCCCCCCCGCTTGAACAAGGGAAACCAATGCTTAAGGCAAAAGGTAGGTTTTTCTGAATGACCTAAATAAATGGAACTATACCCAAGTTTTTAAATTCATAGAGTAGAAGAGCAAAGATACACAGCTAAAGGTGATTAAACTACAAAAACCTGACTTCCAGAACAAAGCACTAAAGTGTGAAAAGTAACAGTTAAGTCATAATTATAAAAACATTGAAAGCAAGCAAGCTCCAAAACAATGAACTAGCTTTAAATTATCATTACATACAAAAAGTTTATTTTAGAAATCACATATCTTTAAAAAATAACATAGTTTTAAATTCTTATCCTGACTGGGTATTATTCACCATTTGAATGCCAGGGTGGTGTGGTACAATCAATTATGTGCAGATACCAAGTTCATGAAATACTCATGGCATTTATACCAGTTCAAAACATTAAGGTAATTTTTTAAAGAAAAAATAACAAAACCCTATGTTAGAAAGTTCATTTTGGAAACACACAAAAGTATCTTGATCTTGTAAACAGAAGTCCTGAAACTACAGATCCCATTGCTGAGACTATTCCAAAAACTGGAAAAAGTAGGTATTAGTATCTTAACTAATGAACAGTTAAAGGATCCAGCGGGACTTACATGCAGAGTGTAGCGTGGGCATCCCAGGGCGTGTGCCAGAGCAGAACAATGTGGAAACGCCAACCTCTCCTTTAGTTCCACAGGTTGGAAGAAAAAGAAAAGCCAGAAAAAGAAGTGGGAAGCCATGTTTGGTAATTTTTTTGGTAGAACTGGTTATCTTTGTTTCTAGTCAACTGGTTTCTTTTAATCTTACAAAAGCAGCACCCTTTGATGTCCTAGTTCAAATACCAGGGAATCAGGACATAAAATAAGTTTACTCACTATGCAGCACAAAATATAGGTCTTTGTAAACCTGAACAAAAGCTGTGATTTAACTCGTTAAGAATGCTTAAAATCATTTTATAAAGAATTAAAATGATCCTTAAGGATGATGACTAAAGCAGAATTTTTATGCAATCATCATCAGATTTTAAAATTCCTGTAACAAAAGACAATTACATTACTCTATTTCATACTTTTTACCTAATATTCCCAGGTTATATTTTTAGGTGCTCCCACCCAGATCATGAGGTATTTGTATTTGGGGCTAAATATAAACCAAAGATATCTTAGTGAGGGGAGTTTGGGTTCTTTGACCCAGCTAGAGCTCAACACAAAGAAATATTGTCACCTTCTAAAAAAATTTCAAGAAAAAGAAAACTTGTATCAGTCAGTTAATTGCAAATATCTTCTGAGAACACAGTTGCCTTGTGCGTCCAGGATGAGTAGTTAAGGTTTAGGCTGAAAAATAAGATTTAAAGTTACTTAAGAACAAAGCCAATCAATATTAGCCATTCATGAAGACAAGCAACACCTGAGGGCAGTGGTGGGACCACCTAATTCCGATTAGATGGGATATAATCTCCAAATCTATGCTTCCCATTTGATGGGAAGTGCATTTACTGAAGATGAGCACTGCAGGTACGAAAGGTAATGTGGGAGGTCTGATGAAAGATGCTCCTGTAATCTTCAGGAAAACTGGCCGTTGATGTTATTGAAGTGAAAATGTGTAACAGTAAAGTTGCAGGTCTGAGCTTTATTATTAGGATGTCCTTTCAGAGAACTGATTCTCTAAAGTGGTTTAATAGGGCACGAAACTCGATTCTCAAGGTATGCCTACTCATCGGTCAAAATGCATTTGGAAAGGAAAACACAGAGAGGATGGGGAACAGGCACAGAAGATGACAAAAGAGCCCAATGAGAATTCCTCAGGACAGATCCACACGAGATCTGGAAAGCACTTTAATACTCTACCCTTCTTCAAAAGATCAAGTTCAGAGAAATGGCAAGTCCTGTATTTACAAAACCGATGAAAATCACACTGTAATAATCAGTGAGTGCAGAGCAGGGGTCTGCGTTTCCCACTTTTTCCACCATGATTCCACATCAAGGTAAAAAAGGACCCTTTTGTACAAAATCCAAGAAGGATGTAGAGGTGGCAGCCCGACTGCCAAAGATGGTACCACGACTTTCTACTGAGGCTGGTGATGGGACACATGGGAGGGAGGGGCAGGGTCCTCTAGAAAGGAACCCTATTTAAGGCGGGGGGCTCTAGTCTGTGGTTGACCTCCGGTACCAGAACCTGGCCCTGAAGTCATCGCTGCAGGTCATGAAGCCGGGGTTGGTGGGCGAGTGCACGATGCAGCGCACGATGTTGTTGTGGCCCAGGGACAGCAGGTTTCGGCGCTCAGCTGTGCGTGAGTCCCAGCAGCACAGGCTGATGGTCCTCTCGTCTGGCAGCAGCACGTAGTCCTCTGTATGGTTGAAGACAGCCTGTGTCCGGTGCACCTGCCGCCCGCTCAAGCCAGCACCTGCGCACAGACCGAGAGGTTAAGGGCCAGGTAGCTTTACAAGTTCACACCTTAGACCCTCACTCTGACTGTTCTACTTTGGCTATTAATCCCATAGAGCATTTTAAAATTGCTAAAGTATGAAAAAGAGAACCACTTCTGGGCCCAATCCCTTAGGCAACTGTTAACTGTGATGCACTTAGAGGTATAAAAACCTTTTAAAAAACAATACAAAACTGGTGCCACATCATATATGTCTTTTCTATCATAGTTTAAACCAACTTTCTGTTGGGTACATTTTCCATCATTTTTACTGTCTGCAAATGTTCCTATCCCATCGTTTAGAAACATCATTACTTAGTTCTTTTCCTGCTAGGCATTTAGTCTGTATCCAATGGTAAGCAACGTGGTGATAAACGTTCTTTGTTCAGAACACATTACTTCCTTAGAATTAAATTCCTAGGACTAGAATTACTGGGATGTAGGAACATCTACTCTCCAAAAGAAAGCATTATACTGTTTTATGACCATGAAAAAAATATATTTTGTTTAAACTACTATATAAAGTATAAAACATAAAAACTGCCTGATAATTTTACACCCATAGTCAATATTTTGATGATTATCCTTCCCACATATCTGTGTTGTACTCATTTGAAATTACATAAGTCTGAGCATATATCATCTGCTGTTTTTATTCCACAGTCAGTAGTGGAGACCATATAAAAAGGGAACATAGGGTAATGAATAACAATACAAACTTTGGTGTCTGAGCTGGAGTCACCACTTGTTAGCGATGTGGCCTTGAACAAATTACTTCACCCCATCTTAATTCTCTTGTTTCATGGGGATTATTACAGCAGCACCCCAACACTGCTGTGGGGATCAAATGAGGGAGAACCTGTTCAACAACTGTTCCTACACAGTTTACTCGGGCTTCTGGTGGACATTCATGCTGCCTCTAACTTTCCATCACTCCAGACAATGCTGGGTGAACATCTTCATTTGTGCCTGCGCATGCTGCCCAACGGTCTTTTTAGGTTGAATTTCTAAGAGTGAGTATAGTGGGTCAAAAGATGCAGGGTGGGGCAAAAGTGGGTTTACAGTTGTAAGTACAATAATTATTATTTATTAATTGTTATTTTTCATATGAACCATTGTAAACCTACTTTTGCCTCACCCTGTGTATTTATTTAAAATTTTGTTATGTGACACCAATTGCCCTCCAGAAATATTTTACTAATTAATACTCGTAACAATGTATTTATTGAGATGTTTATCAATACTAGATAATACCAACCTTTTAAATTCCTGAAATCTGATGAGCACAAAATGATACTTCCCTTTTCATTTCTTAGTTTTTCAGTGAGGTTGGTCATTTATCTTTTCTGTGTTCACTGACCAATGTCTGACATGTGTCTATTATATATGCTATGATTATTTCCCCTCTAATCCAGCATTTTAAGTTTTTTTTTTCCTTTGTGAACAAGTTTCACATTAACCGGCAGTTTATTTGCTTATAACCTAAACATTGTCAGTTTGAGAAGAAATACACTATGATATATAGATCTTGCCATTTAAATTCTAGGTTTCTTTTTTTTTTTTACCCTTAGTAAAAATTTATCCAAGAAACAGGATACATACCCACACTCTCACACAAGGTCAGGTTACCCACCCCTGCCCTGCCCGCAAGGTAAAAAATAAACTTGTATTAGATGGCAATTGATTTTTTTAAAATCCAAGTAGAGAAAGAAGCAATCATTTTTAACTAAAATCCTTCTGTTTTTTGATTACTTTCAACTTGCTACTGTTTAGCAAAAAGCAACATTTCCATAGTGTTCATCTCAAATCTTATTGCTTTACAACTGTGGTATACCATCCTTTAAAAATAAAAAGATGAAGCAGTCAATCTAGTGATAATTTGACATGGCTTTCATTGAAAAAGGAAGGGAGAAGAGGGTGGTAGAAAAGAAAAAACCCATAGACAAAAAGGTAAATTAAACATACAAAGATTTTCTTAAAAAAAAAAAATTAAAAAAAGAAAGTTATTTTCAACAAAAGGGAAAAAAGCACTGAAAGCCCATGAGTCAAAGCCAAAACCATGTTCTATCTTATGTAGTTTTCTTTTTTTGTCCCTTTTTCCTTCTTTTTTTCCCCCTTTTCTTTTTTTAAATAAAACCTCTCTGAAACCACCATCACTTTTAATCCTCCCCAGATTGGGCTTCATCTTCGGACCCTTCATCCCCAGACTTCTCGGGCGGAGGGCTGGCGAGGCTTTCTTCTCTGGAGGGCTTTCCGGCTCCTCGTCTTCTTTGGGAGAAGGAGTCTTTTCCTTTGATACCTTTGAAGCTGTGGGGCGACCAACTTTCCCTTTGCCTTTCACAGGACTTGGCATCACTGTAGCCTTTAGCCTGGGTTTGGGCATTTTCTTTTCTTCTCTCTCAGGTTTGGACTTCTTAACCATCTTTTTGTTTTTCTTTTTTGAACTGCCATAGTCACTATCATCATTGTCTTCCATTAGAAAATCTTCGTCGCTGCAGGAATCTTTCTCCTGGAACTGTGGTGCCTCATCCTCTTCTGGTTCTTCTCCACTGCCCACATCTGCCAGGAGCATCTCTCTCTGTTTAGAAGCTGCTTTAGAGGCTGCCTCCTGTTGCTGGTGCACATTTTTATGATCTTCCTTTTCATCCTTACTGTTCTCTGCTGAGTGAGAATCATCCTTCTCAGTCTTCACATCTTTTTCTTCTGAGTCTTCACTATCTTCCTGTGAATTCTTTCCAGATCACCTTTTATTTTTAGCTTCTCCTGGAGATGATCGAATTTTCTTAGCTGGAGGACCTGAATCTCTTCCGTAATCTTCATCAGCGTCATCAGAGTCCTGAAACTGTGAATAATCAACGACCTTCCTATTTCTGACAGGCCGAGACATGTTCGCTGTTGAATCAGGACTGAATTGAGAAGCCAAAGACCAGGACCCCCCCCTCAACCCCACGCGCTCGGGCCCCACACCCCCAAATTTGGCCGAGGGGGCTGATACCACATAACCCCGAGTTGCTGGCTTCTCAAACAATGCCACTTCTCGGTTCAGAGGCCTATAATCAGAGGAAGCCCCCGTTCCCCCGTCTCTTCCTTAATTTTGTTTACAGTGTTTTCAATTAACTTTTAATATCAAAACTTCTAACGTGTAATTCGTACTTTTCTCTTTTCCTTCATTATTTTAAGACTAGAGGCCCAATGCATGAAATTCATGCAAGAGTAGGCCTTCCTTCCCTCAGCTGCTGGCACTGGCTTCCCTCTGGCACCCGAGACTGGGGCTTCCCTTGCAGCCCTGGCTTTGTCCAGAAGGTCATCTGGAAGGACATCCGGTCTAATTAGCATATTACTCTTTTATTATTATAGATAATTCTAACTAAACACTAAAACTGGAAACATCTAAATTTGCTGACACGAAGGGTCTTAACCTGTGAATTAGGAAAACTGAAATTTGCATATAAATTCAGTACAACCTTATTTAAAATCAACTCCCAACTGCCCCCCAAAACCAACCATAAAACATTTCAAACATTCGTTAAAAAAAACCCAAGTATAATAAATTCTTGTCAGCAGTCTGGTGTATCTTCTTAAGAGGGAGGAGGTTTTTCCATTTTTTAAGATTTTTAAAATTGATTTCAGAGAGGAAGGGAGAGGGAGAGACAGAAACATCAATAATGACAGAATCATGGATCGACTGCCTCCTGCATGCCCCTTACTGAGGATTGAGCCCCCAACCTGGGCATGTGCCCTGACCGGGAATTGAACCGTGACCTCCTGGTTCATAGGTTGACACTCAACCACTGAGCCACGCCAGCCAGGCGGTTTTCCCATTTTACTTGATCACTTTTATACATCCCTTTTGCAGCACACACTGTCTTTTCATAGCAATAATCAAATATTTTTCAAACAAGCTTCATACAAAAGTGCTCAATGAAGTCACCAAGAACTACAATAAAAAATGACTTTTCCCAACACTTGCTATACCAGAAGCCAGAAAGACAGCAGGAAACAAACTCAGGTTTTAAGGCACTAAAACTGCAGTAGGCTATGCTGCTCCCTAGTGGTCAAGATCTCACCAACTCTTCAATTTTCTCTGCAACACTATCTTAACACCATAGCAGAGCCCCTTTCAAAACAGTTTTGGGAGCTTTTAGGTTAGAGTCATGCAATTTCAGCACATGACACAAGCATATCACAGAGGAGGAAACTAGCTGAAGTTTACTGGAGGTTTTCTATCACACAACAGCCTTTGCTTCTACAGGAACAGAAGAATGAGACACAATATTTTAACAACACTCACTATAAATAGCTAGACTTGAACAGACTACTGTGAAAGGATAAATTTAAATCTCATCACAGAGCTCACAGCCACAACTGTTACCAATTAGAGGCCTACATGAATTAATGAGAAGCAGAACAATTTTTTCTGTCTGAAGCACCCACTTTCTATCTAGGTTCAATTCAGAACACTTGTGGTCTCCCTTGGGGGCTACCTCTGCTCGCTTAGGAATGGGCCAAGATCTTCCCTCTCAGCCTTCCTTGTCCTAATGTGTACACTTATGGAGGCTTTTCTCTGGACTGCAGAGAAGAGGGCAGGCGGTCAGCCTGCAAACAGACCACCAGTTCTCAAATGCTACCTGCATGGAATCAGATCTAGTTAAGCTATTATGTATTGAGAAAAGCAAAGGTAAGAAACTAGGGCTCGCCGAAACCGGTTTGGCTCAGTGGATAGAGCGTTGGCCTGCGGACTGAAAGGTCCCAGGTTCGATTCCGGTCAAGGGCATGTACCTGGGTTGCGGGCACATCCCCAGTAGGAGATGTGCAGGAGGCAGCTGATCGATGTTTCTCTCTCGTCGATGTTTCTAACTCTCTGTCTCTCTCCCTTCCTCTCTGTAAAATATCAATAAAATATATTAAAAAAAAAAAAAAAAGAAACTAGGGCTCTATTTCCAGCTCTGCCTCTTACTAACTGTAGGGTTAGCTAAACGATTTGGCCCTACCTACTTTAAGCCTTGGTTTCCCTTATCTAAAATGAGTTCTTAGAACTGTAAAATGATGCATAAGTTTTCAGTAATATCAATTTCTCACATACCTGTGAATCTGACCAGCGTTCGTCCTGTTGATATTTCCCAAAGTTTAGCTATAGAGTCTTTTCCACTTGAAAGAATGTATTTAGAATTTTTGGAAAAGATGGCAGAACAAACTTCAGCACCGTCGTGTGCCTTCTCGAAAGTTGTGATGCACCGATTCGAGACACCATCCCACAACTTGATGCAGCCGTCCTTGCTACCAGTTACATACATGTTGGCACTAGGGTTGTAATTAACAGAACATATGGCATCGGTGTGTTGATCTTGAGGATTGCAAGAGACAAAACATTGAAATGTGTTGATATCATAGAGCCGAAGAGTAGGATGCTGAGTCCCCACAAGTATAAAGTCTCCGGAAGGGTGAAAAGAGATGGAGCGTAACATTTCAGCTTCCTGTTAGGACAGAGACATGAATGTTAAATGACCAACTGTGGGACAATTATTTCCAGAGGAAATGTGGACAATATTTGGATGATGCAAAGAATCCATTAAACAATGGATCAGGTATGAGAAAGAACAAAGTACTTTAAGGTACCAAATGTGACTTCCAGCAAATACCTGACAGTTTTAAGTGAGTAACTTTTTATTACCATAAGTGACTTTAATGAACTGTTTGTTTTCAAACGGATCTGCAATCTTTAGAGTGAAATGGACTCTGAATCCTTATTGCATGAACTGGACTCGTAGCAGTGCCAACCCGCCAGAGGATGTGGGTGCATGACAACACGTGAACCATGTGCCACCTGTGGCATACATCCTTGTTGCTGTACTCTCATTTCATGTATGATCACTGAGACTACTTCTAAAAAGAGAATAGCCATACAACAGCTCACTGTATTTAAGAAAAAACATAAAGCTCTTCTCAAACATTCCTAACCTGAATGTACTTGAAGGCTCTTTTTGCCGAAGGTTTGGAATAATCAAATAACTTAAGTGTGTAATCCCTTGAACCAGAGGCAAGAATCTGTTCCGTTGGGTGGAAAGCAAGACATGTGACTTCGTCCACGTGGTCATAAAGAGTCCGGATCACTGGGTGGTTTTCCATATTCTGTTGTGCAGTCTCATTCATCATAACCTAGACCAGTAAGATAAGGAGATAATGCAAAGTGTGAAATCTAACTCACAGTGCACTCTGCTACTATGCTCAGTAAAGCTGGTTTAAACCACTCTCCCCTTCTCCCATGAAGGAACAAAAGGCAAACAGTAACAGTGTTACCGGATTTTTACCTCTATTGGCATGGCACTTTTGGGCCAACATTCTTTCTGTGTCGAGTATCTTTATGGAGGCGTCAGCAGACCCAGTAGCTATTAGCTGCCCATCTCTACTATAGGTAGCTACTCGGCATGGTCCTTTATGGGATGTGACATAGCAGGTTTCATACTCTGAAGCCTCTGGGGACATGGTCTGGACATCTGCATCGAACTCCAGGTCAATGCCCGTTCCTGGGGCAACTGTATCTGAACGACCAATTGCATACTGAACTGCAGTATCATCGTTTTCCATTCCTGAAAGGAATAAAAATTAAGGGCATGAAAAGTATTATTTTAAAGGCCAAGACAGGCCCTGGCTGAGTAGCTCAGTTTGTTAGTGTTGCCCAATATGCCAAGGTTGCGGGTTCAATCCCCCATCAGGGCACATACAAGCATCAACCAATGAACGCATAAATAAGTGAAACAACAAATCAATGGTTCTCTCTCCCTAAAAAATAAGGCCAAGACAAAGTTTGGGATCTGAGCTGGGAAAGATGTTTGCCATATCAACTTGCTTCTTGGAGGTGCATGACACTTAATACTTTACAAAACTAAGCACACTGACCAGGGTGCATGCAGTGACCACACTGTAAGGGAACATAGGTTGTAGAAGGCCAGGCTTTAGTAAGTAGTCACCTCTGCTGATTTTTGCCTCCAAAATGTTCTATGTAACTACAACTACAGAAACAAAAAGCAGTTCTGTAGTTATTCATTTTTCCTACTCCAGCTTATATCGTTAGTGCTGAAATCTGTTAATATAAACTCTGAAGCTCATTAAGTCAGATATATTAACACTAGTGAAACATTTGAAAGAATGTTATTTAAATAAACTGAAGTTTATCAAGAATGTGTTTTAAATTTAAAAAACTCAACACATCATATAAACAATGTTTATTAGCAAAGGAAAACTTAAAAATGCAGATGAACAAAAAAATAAAAAAGGATCCTATTTCACCCAGAGATGATTACTGTTAACATGGCTGTATAAATTCTTCTGGACCCTTCTCCATGCATAAAGTTGTTTCACGTCTTAAAATAAAAATTCTCACAACTGGCACTCACAATTCTCACAGGTCAGAGGGTATAAACAGGTTTGATAATTCTATATTTCACTGTTTTCTGTGACCCAGGTAAGCACCAGCACATACTATTGAACAAGAAAAGGTCCTGATCTTTGAGGAGCTTGCCATTTTTGTTGTTGGGAGAGGTATAGGTTGTGTGGGAAACAACCCAAAACACTAAAGAAAATTTCAGACAGTACTTGTGCTAGGAAGGAAATGGGACTGTGTGTTAGACTAAGAGCATGTGTGTGTGTGTGTGTGGGGGGGGGGGGGATGGGGATGGGGATGGGGATAATAGTGAGGTTGTTTTAGAAAAGGTGAGGACTCTGGGATGACAATGTGAGCTGAGACTTGAAGAGTCAATAATCTAATGACTGAAGGGTCCAGATAATTTGCATAAAGATCCTAGGCTAGAACCAGCTCGAAGTCTTCATAACCTGGACTATGCTATCTCCTTCAGTATCCAGCACTGTACTTGACACGTACTAACACTAAAGAAGTGGAAATAATCTTGAAAAATTCTGATGGGCGAGAACATCTGAAACCTTGTCAAGGGATCAATGAACTGCATTCACAGCTACCTAGTTTGATGAGATGCAGGAGCTGCTCTGAGGGTGCACAAACAGACTGAGGCTTGATTTCATTGATGAGGCCATTAGCAATGCTGATGAAGCCATCATAGAGCAGCTGGCTAATGATCAACTTGTAAAGCTGCTGGCGGTCCTTCAGGCCCACTTTGGTTCTGTACATCGTGGAGAAGAGGAAAACAATTTCCCTGCCAGCTGCAAAAAGAGAAAAAGGGTGGATGGTGAAGAAGAGAGGCACCAGGAAATCACAGAAGCAACACAGAAATTGGATCTGACTTGCAGGGCTCAAATCCCAGCTCTACTACCTGCCTTATCTTTGGTCAATGACTCGTTTGCCTGAGATCAGGTTCCTCAGCTGTTATATCTCCAGACACTACTGTTTCCACTAGCTGAGTGTATGTTTACTAATATCAGTTATGTTCAGTCTTAATACATGTTTTGAAGCAACTGAGGTTGTTAAATTACATATTTAGATAATAAGTCAAGATATGAGGGCAAAACACCTATTGTGCTATGAAAACTTAATCAAGCCGAATGCTTTGGAAAAAGTCAAAGGTGAATTGCTTAATAAAATATTGGCAAATAACATGGTCAAAACAACAACAAAAAGGAGGGAGGCAAAACTTGAAGGATTGGGCACTTAGGTGGATTTACAGATGTCGAAGTGCTCCAGGCACTAGTTGTGAGACTTGCTATACACTCCACACACATCGGGTAGGCAACTGATGCGCATTACCTCACTAAATCCTCACCTAATCCTCTTTAGGAGACGGGCAACCGGAAGCCCGAAGAGGTCTAACTCACCCAGGATCACACAGCCTGTAAATGGCAAAGCCTGGGTTCTAACCCAGGCTACTGGGGCCCGGAGCCCCAGTCCTTAATGCGCTGTACTGACGGGTGTTAGTAACAGCAGTCGACATCTACTGAGCACTCGCCAGACACCATGCTGCGCACTTTATAAGGCAGCATTTGCTCACTGCATAAGTTCACTCAGTGAACTTAGTAAGTACACGTGGAAGCAAATGCATGTAATTCGATGCTTGCGTAGACAACTCCAGAACACAACAGAGAAGACGAAACTAAGTCAAAGAGGTTAGGAAACCCACTGAAAGTAACATGTGGCTGAGGAACTCGCCCAAGATGAAAGTGGCCGCCAGGACTGTCCACACCGGAGCCCAGAACTTAACCGCTACTCCATCCCGTCTCCTCGCTCATGCCAGGAGCATTATGGGATGCAGAGCTTAAAAAGAAAAGAGGCCGAGCTCCGTTCTCAGCGCATAGCGCGCGGGCTCGCGGGGCTAGTGAGCGCCTAATCGCCACCCCGATTTGCAGGTGAGGACCCCGAGGACCGAAGAACCCAACCAGGACCGGTTGTGCCCGGGGCTGGAAGAAGGATCGGGAGGGCAGAGACGGCCCCTCGCTGTGCACTCCGCTACCACCCGGCAGAGAGGTGAACTAGGGTTGGAGGGAGCGAGGCCCTTGAAGAGGAGGAAGCAGGCCCAGCCTGGCAAGTCAGCGCGCACTCCTCCCCGCTCACATGCTCCCGTTCCCCTCCTTCCCGTGGTCCCCTAGAGCCCCCCGCCCGACCGCTCCAGC